TAGCCCTTACTATGTTACTGCAAAGAAATGACTTTCAGACATTTCCTTGGCTGCAGTCAGGATTAAATAAATTAAATCTAAATGAAGCACTGAATTTATTCAAGGTTTGCAGAAAAAATAAGTCCCAAGATTGAAACTACACTTAACACTTAAATCTCTTTATTTTTCCCCTCCCCCCTTTTTGTATTAGTGATTAAAATAACTGGTGGCAAAACCTGATTATCTCTGCTGCAGGGTATCATCATTATGATTTAATTATCATCTTTGTGCCACTTTTCACAGATTATTTAGTCCATGAATAGAAGCATGCAATATCCTTAAGGTATGTGACAGCTCAAAGTTAAATGTTAATATTGAAATTGTGTCCATTAAGATATTTTTCAGGATACAATATCAAAAAGAAAACTTTTCTGTATTGTTCCTTTATGATATGGGTGTTTACCAGAACATCCTAATGTACTGACAGTAAATTAGGTATGTTTCCAGTTATTACTGCTATCATTTCTGATTCAATGTTCTGCATATATTGTATCATTCTTTTGCCATTGGCTTAAAATATTTCCTTTGGAGAGTGAAACTTCCATATTAATTCCAGTCTGATTAAAATAGAATAGAAGCCCACACTGATACACAATACCAGTTTATGATGGTCACATTACAGCTGGTGAAGAAAACAACTATTTAAGAGTAACTGACATCCCACTTTTATTTTGCCAATGCAGTGACATATGATTAAGTTTAAGAATATAATCCACAGATCCTACATGGGTCCAAGCCAAGAATGTAGAACATGTCAGCACAAATACAATGCTTATTTCTAATACAAATATAAATTACACAGTTATGACACTAATTTACAGTCAACTATAGTGTTACTGCAAAAATAATTACACACTATTGCTGACATGTAATTATAATTTTGTTCTATATATAAACATTTGTTAAGAATGCAACACAGATCACATTTTACTGACAAGTGTAACATTATCACTTCATTGAACAATTCAGCAAGAAAATATTTCATTCATATACATACAACTATGTACTGCATCTTAACCTTATTTTAATAAAATAATTGTGCTATTTTAATTTGATTCAACAGGCTAACTCATAAAGCAAAAGCATATTTACAGACCTAGGAGTAGCAACTGAGGATATTATTGGACTTTGTTGTACATGCTACAGCCTTGCCTGGAACATGACTGGTTCGTAGAGAAAATAATAATTTGGTAGCTTATGTGTGGGTTCTAACTGAGACTTTGCTAAGAAGTAATTGAATTTGAACTGCCATCACTATTGTATTATGGCCTATATAAAAGGTGGGTTTAGACTAAACATACTTAACACATTCAGTTACACCTCATCTGCTAGAACTTTCACATCCCTTGTACGGAATTTTTTTTATTAGATCAATATTTAATTACAAAAAGGTTTTGAGAGAAATTTGTCAAACAGACTGAAAGAATGGTGTCTTGGAAACATGGTAAATATAGATATTTAACAGTAGTTAAAGGAATGAGCAAATATCAAAGATGATGAAAGACAATAGAGTTTTGTCTGCCTACATTTTGAACTCTCCTTATTCTATAAAAAAATCAGAAGTATTGGAATCATTATTGACTTCATATCTTCACAAGATTTTTTATTATTTAAATATATGGAATTTTATATTTTGTGTCCCATTTTATTCGTGGCACTACAACACACATATACACTAGTTTCATTTTGTGTATATTTCTTGGTCAGTAAAATCACTCAGTGTACGTGCACACCTTTATTAATCAACATAACATTCAGCTTTACTATTCACTGCACCATTAACATATAGCACATATAAACAAACGCTAAATCTCTTAAATAATTTTAGCTTTCTTTTTTAAAGCTGAACAATGCATTTTCAGTATTATGACATTAAATCTGTAAAACACATTCACATTAATGTGTTGCAAATATGTTGAAAACAAAAACTAATTTGATTCATACACACAAAAAAAATTCCTTTAATAATGGATTTATTTTATTTTTACCTACATTTCTATATGAATTCTATACTCAAATAACACAAACAACACAAAATTGTTAGTTACAATCAAGGGGCATTCAACAAAATAATACTGCATTTGCTTTCACACTTCTTGCATACATGTTTTATTGTTGGAAACGTTGTGATTTAACTTCCCTGCATATCATATTTTTAGCAAGTTTAAATGTTAGTTACTATTTAGTTAAATAATTTAAATATAAACTTGTTTTCTGTTGCATCCACTTCTGAATCACAAGTACTAAATAAGGCTTTAAGTTTTTGTGGAGAATACATGCACTAGAATCTTGTAAAATCCATGCCATCAATGTCACTGACCCTGACAATTGAGAATGAGCCAGTCTTCATAACACTGGCTTTCAGCACAACACTTATGCAACTGATTGACTGAGAAGATTTTAATGCAAAAATACAAAGTATCTTCATTTATGACAAGCCATACATAGTAAAGATATGTGGCAATATTTTGTACCAAATAATGTGTATCCTTCACACTCGTAATTATACGAGGGCAATTCAAAAATTAACCTCCGGTCGGGCGCGAAAAACAAACTAGTTGCCATAGCAACATAGCGCATGCGCAGTCGACATCAGCAAACCTTCACCTAGTTGCACATCAAATTGGCCGT